CATATAGTTATTATTTTTATTTATTTATTTATTTATTTATTTATTTATTTATTGTAATATGTAGTAAGCCTATTTTGCCCGTTGATGGTCATATCGAAAAGCACGGCTGACTAATACACAACGCAAAAATACGGTCCATCAGACGATTAAACGTACTAACCGCTGCTAAGACTCAGGTCTCCTGATATCAGTCATCCAGTCTCCCCACGTTAAAGAAAATCCGTGAAACACGGGCCAAGATGTCAGTACTGGTCAATCATTTGACTAACCATAATATTTGCGTTGTTCATAAAGAGCCGTGCTTTATGCCGTTTTAATTATGATCACCAACACAACGAAATTATGAATCCTGAATTACACATCTGGAACAACTTGGCTAGAGTAGTCGAGGATACCGAAATGTTTACAAGTTGTAACACGGTCATTTATAATGCAACAAGTTCTTGTTAAAACTATTAGGCTGACACGTCGCTGAAATGGCAGAGACGGCTGACAACGAAATCGAATTTACGTAATCGGCAGATGACGTCTGCACCAACTGTTAGATTTGTCTGATCATCTGACACTTCTCTGGATTCACGCGATGAAATGGCACCATCGCTAGTCCACCTGGAGAACGTTTAAGCAGGTCATGGATTAGTCGCATTTTAGTACCGGCAAAGCATGGGCGAAAGCCTGTAACACTTTGAGTCTTATTCATATATATCGCGCGGTATGGAAAACTAGCAGTTTGCAAATAGATTTTTTCATTACACATGTCCCGTGATATTTAACACAAGGAAATGGGGAAGGGGCTAAAGACAGCCATCCAACTCCACTCATACTCGCGGTCACATAATCTCACGTAGGTACCACAATCGAATCATAAAATATGTGTATTCAAAATTAACAAGATTCTCAAAAGCAGCGTATAACTTGTTTAAACGGACATGTGTAAATTACACAAATTCAAACTAGTGGTCACAAAACTGCGACGGCACAAAAACCCCTACGTAACGTCAGAGACATACCTGCTTTCCAAAAAGCCAATGATTTCGAAAATGATCAACTCGAACATAGTACAAGACAAAGCGAACGTCACCGAAAACACTAGTTGCACCTTGATCAATTCAACCTAGAAATAAGGTGATGAATCAAAGATATACGCAAAAATAAGCCGGCTTTTACTTCGTAGTCCCTGAACAACTGTTTCATGAAGAACAGCCATCCGCAAGCGAAGAACACCACCTTAATTAGGAAACACTTCGTTAGGACGGAGTATGAGACTTAACTCACTGGTGACAGCATTTTTCAAGCCGGAGACGTACCTGAGAGAGCAGGACAACTACTGTGTCCTGTGCCAGGGTCATTATTAGTAAATAGCAGACAGCCGCGAATAGTAACGGATCACGCCCAAAAAGCACAGCCGGTGTTTCGGTGATCTGCAAACACTTAAACATCAAAATATATGTCAACTTTAAACATGACCTAAAGCTCAGACACATGCTATCATTCGCTTGACGTTTCTTCGATAGAGAAAACTTGAAAACCGGAACGAACGAACGAAATTTACTGCGTCAAAAGAACAACAGAAATGAATAAAATCTACAAAACGAAACGGAACGGATCAGACTGACGAAACACTTCGGCGGAACTGACGGGAATGTACTGATACTGACGTTTACTTTTCAAAAGACGAGTTTGGCACGCACTCTGGCACGAGAAAAGCCGAAACTACACCCACAACTATGAAACCAATATAAATATAATTCATAAATGGGATTTATCAATCACCTGACTGCAAAAATATCTACTAAAATTTAGTTCATATTTTAAAACAAAAGCAATTATCGCCTTCACATATAACTGACTAACCAGAACAAAGGCGTTGGTAAAATCTATAACGATAAAAAATTCTTTTAATCCCACGTATGAACACAAAGCATGAGTTAACAGACAGTGAAACCGCCGATCGGACGAATAGGGGTTGCAAACGCTGTTTCATCG